CCCCCCGGCCCCCCCCCCCCCCCCCCACGTAATATCTTGTCGGACTCTTTACGAAGACCTCGAACGCGATCCATTAATTCGAAGCATAATTTCTACAATTTATTATCTACAATTTTTCTGACTTTCTCGACATTTTTTTCTAATTTTCTCCTAATTTAAACATGGGGTATAAATGATCTGACTCGTGTACGAATTTTTCAGCAATTTATTCATGCGCAGAATTGTTATTTTACACAAAGATAACACCATGTTTCTTACAAACTATTCCATTTGTTTATCATTTCCTAATTAAATCGTCAACGGAAATTGGAACTCTCATACTAATTAATACTCTATAGACATACATATTATTCAGATTAATTTCATTGCTAAAAAGAATGAAAAGAGTTATATGAACGTAAAAGGAAGAAGTCGCTAAAAAGAGACGAAACAATCAGTTTAACGCAAACAGAAGAAGCCGAAGAACAAGAAGAAGCATCTCAAAAGAAACCAAAATAATAAAATTAACGAAAAATTTATTCAACAGAAAAACTGATATTCGAACAGCAATTTCTCCAGCTCTGGGCCCAAATGGACCCGGCCACCGCAGTCCGTGGGACAAGGAACAGACCTGTAAGAAAATTCGCGAATCAACGATAACAATAATTAACATCCGATGAAAATGTTCCCAGATTTCGCTGGCAACGGGTATTACGAAACAATCGCATAGTTTTACGAGCGGCGAGGGCTATTGTTTACGTTATCAATTTCCCGGGGAATCGGGTTCTCTTCATCGGGGCCTGGCCGTTCCCACGCGAATCAGAACCGTATTTTTGCGTAAATGGAACGCGGCGGGCTAGACCCGGCAGAGCTACGTTACTCCGGCGCGGCGTCGATACAAAAGGAGAATTTATCGCCGATAGGCCAGAGATAGATGCGAGCAAAAAGGCCGCAGCATGATCTGCGCATATCCACGGGTAGGCACGCGTGTGTCGGTTATTAATACCCGCAAATTATAAATAATGTCGCCGGCCGGGCTCACAAATCAACGTTCCGCGATACCGAACGTGGCGCTATCGTCTCGTCGACGGATCGAAGGATTTAAAGTAATCGAAAAGCCGATTTTTTTTATTGGCGTTTGTTGGACATCACAACATGTTAATTGGGAACGACGGGATATTTCGAATTTATTCGAATTTTGAATATCTCGAATTTATTCGAATTTACTCGAATTTATTCGAATTTTTAATATACTAAATATTTTGAATATTTCGAATTTAATCGAATTTATTCGAATTTTGAATATTTCGAATATTTCGAATTTTGAATATTTCGAATATTTCGAATTTATTCGAATTTCAAGTATGTCGAATTTGTACAGTTTAGCTTCACCCCACTATAACGCTTTTTTATACGTAATATGCTAAGGATGTCAGGATACACCGAAGAAAACTATACTAAATGATATATTAAATTAAATAAGAAACAAATGTATTAAATATTGTATTAATATATAATATATTTAATAACGAACAAATAAACGTCCAGAAATTTCATTAGATTTTCTTGAAATATCCCTGAACGAGTTTCTAGATCTATAAAAATCTGATCATTTTCTCTCGTAAAAATCACTTGAAAGCGATGCGAGCCGACAGAAAAAACCTGCTCAAATTAAACGATTTTTATATATTTCTATGCTTCGAATACCCAACATTTCAATCCACGGTTTTAATAAATCACGCAAACATTTACGTAACTGTGAAACAACAGACCACAATTTCCAGATAAAAATTTGCACAATAAATGCGGCAGAATTACATCTTTTCGAAAACGATGAAAATGATAAAAAATGAAAACAGACTGAAATAGATTAAAATAAATCAACGATGAAAATCGCGCGACATTACAGAGAGCCAATAAAAATGAATCATTCCCGCGATATTCCCGAGCTAAGCTACGCAAATTGTAATTTCCATAAAGACCTATAGAAATCTGATAATTTTCTCTCGCAGAAAATTCACTTGAAAACGGCGCGGCCGTAGGGAGAATACTCGGTTAAATGGTTTTCGAGAAACGATTACTATGGCGGATAGAAGATGGTGGAACGACGAGGGGCGCGAGATGGAGCCCGGTTCCACGCGTCCGGCTCCGATCGAAAACTGAAACCCGTGGGAGTGGATCCCCGCATTAAAACCCCTTCCACGGGAATGTACTGCTTTTGTAGAAAATGGTTCGTTGATAATATCGAAGCCGAGTAATATCGATACCGGTATCGCCTTCCGGCTCGCCGGAGCTAATCGTACGTAGAAAAACGGGAGACGGCGGGTTTAATCTTGACAAAACATTAAAACCAAAAAGAAAATGCTGAACGGTACTTGCTCTCGATATTCCTACCGTTCGGACGATGCGACGTGAAAATGGTAAACGGAGGTTCGCTCGACGGGCACCGCGTTCCGTATCTGTCTCGACGCCATCTCGCACGGCTTTTTTTATGGATTCTCGGGTTTTGGATCTGGACAGAGGAATAAAAGGTCAGTATGACAGAGATATTTGTTTCAATCGTTTGCGTGCGTTTTATTGTTCGGAAAAGTAATAAATAAACCGCCGATCTTTGTGCATTTGTGCACGGTATGTATGCAAGTTTTTTAAATGCAATTAATGTGGTGCATATTGGTAGAACTTATTTGTATTAACCATGGTGTTTACATTTGTATTAACCCTTTGTGTTAAACACTCGCAGCTAGTTTAACTTCAAAAAATTAAGGCATTTATTCCGACCTATAGTAATTTCGTTTCGCGTGATTTTTTTTGTACTTCCATTTTTAGCAGCTCTGTAAATATACAGCAAATTAATAATGCGAGAATTGCTTTGAAAAATGATGCGGCAACTTTTTATATTAATATTCTGTGTTCACTATAAGGAACTTTTTAATTGGAGAAAAATATCTTTTCTTTCTTCTTCTATTACATTGAAAAATCATTTAGAAAGATCTGTAATTAAATCAAGGATCTCAGGCGTTTGTTCATTCTAGATAAATAATAAAATGATCGGAATTATGGCCACCGATTTTAACCTTTTTTTAAATTGTTAAACCTTATCGAAACATGCACAAAGAAACCTTGTAAATGAGACTGAAAAGGGTGTTATAGTTTCATCGCAGCAAAATCCCACCGCAATTTAAATTAGAACACCCCCTTAGGGGGTGCGTCTTCCGCATCGATTGCAAGAAACAGGAATATCGCAAAGCGATGCAAAATACAGTAAATTCTCCCTAATTTTCCTTCGGCTTGTAAACAAAAACGGACAATCTCGAAGAAGGAGATACGATTGTTCAAGCCTCGCGGCTCATTTTTAAAGTTGCCGGTCGTCGACAATTATAAAAACGAGGCACGAGGCTCGAATAATGTTCACAATAATATTGTAACATTTTATACAACATTACATATATATTATACAATATTTAATACAATTTTACGCAATTATATCGTACGTATATTATAATGTTCGCAAGCTGAAACAAAATTCGGGAGAATTTACTGATTTACGAAAGGCAACTGGCGCCAATATACAGAACACACCACGTTGCCAAAAAAGGATGCGAAACAACATCGCCCGGATCGTCGAGTCCGTCGCGCAACGCAAACCATTTTTTCCGGATCAACCGGTTCGCGAGAACCCCAGCCAACGAACTTCTCTGACGTCGCCGCGAAGTTTTCCCGTTTCGCGGATCATTCCGAGCTCGCCGCGAATTCAGCGGAGGATTAGGACGCGGCAACTGCAGAAGAAGAATCCCGGTTTATGTTTCGCGAAGCGTCGCGATAAAAGGATTCCGCAGCGGGGAGGGAGGGCAGCCACCGGCACGGCAGGAGGAAAACAAGACATCGCCGCGGTCGACAAATCGGACGTCGGACGTCCGACGTCCCGTAGTTCCCGAAGGACCTGCTCGCCGAACTTTCGCTCGTAATTGCGCGTCGAACGTCCTTCGAGGAACGATCCTCGGAGCTGGACCAATAAGTTCGGAGTGCAGGGATCGGGAAAGAGGGACGAGCAAATAGCCGTGGAGATGCCGCGGCGCGATAACGGACGGCCGCGTCGCGGATCTTGTCTCTCGTTGTCTTCGGCTTGCGACAAGGCTTGCGGCGGGACGCGCGCCGGGACGCTCCTGGATGCGAGAAGGAGCGAGCGGAGCGCTGTCAAACAGATTGAAATCAACGGGAACCGACTTCTATTTTCTCCTCCGCGCTGCTGTGCCGCAGCCAGATCTGAAATGAAAATCTGTGGCCCCGCGAGCGAGGAACCGCGAGATAATTCAGCGGCTCCGGGGGGAGTGGGGGAACAGACTGAGACGGAGAGAAAGAGGGAGAGGCGGATAGGTTGAGAAAGTTAGGGGGCGAAGTGAGAGGGAGAGAGAAAGATGGAGACAGAAATACGGGGAGGAATAGACGGAGGAAGAGAAATAGAGATAGAGAAACGGACGGAGACAAAGACGGATAATGAGGGGAATAGGAGGCGACGGAGACGGGCGAAGAGAGAAATAGACGCAGGAAGAGAAACGGGCGGAAATGGAACAAGAGAGAAATAAATAGGGGCGGAGAAAGAGAAACGGAGACGGAGAAAAAGATAAAGGAGAGTAAGAGAGATAAATAAATAGAGATCGATAATAAAGAGAAAGAGAAAGAGTGAATGGAGAAAAGGAGAGAGAGAGAGAAAAATAAATAGAGGGAGATCAAAAATAGAAAGAGTGAGTGAGAAGGAGAGAAAAAGAGAGAGAAATAAATAGAGATCAAAAATAGAGAAAAAAAGAAAGTGAAGAGAAAGAGAAAGATAAATAGAGAAAGATCAAAGATAGAGAGAAAAAAAGAGTGAGTGAAGAAAAGGAAAGAGATAAATAAATAGAGATCAAAAATAGAGGAAAACGTAGAGTGAGTGAACAGAGAGATAAAAAATAGAGAAAAAGAAAGAGTGAGTGAAGAGAGAGATAAAAAATAAAGAAAAAGAAAGAGTGATTGAAGAGAAAGATATAATTGAGCGCAACATGTCTGCTTTGTAAAATAATGAAATGATATGGCAAACGAAAGTTGTAGATTTTTAAATTATTATGCTGTGTGCTGAGACTAGACTGGGATTTTTAAGAACTTATTCTACTAGTGGATCACTTTCAAACTTTCCAAGATGTTAAGAATGAGAATCAATTTTTTATTTCACTACTGTTTATAGCAATCGAGGTAGAGAATTTTTATTCTGCGAAATGAGCAGTCTAATTATAACTTTGCATATCAACGATCATCAAACGAGCCCTTGAAAGCAGAAATGGTATAAGTGAAAGTTAATTTGTGAATAACGAGGGATGAATCAAATGTTCTGTAAAATGCAATAACATCGAAGAATCGTTTCGACTCTTTTATGTAAGTCACTTTGAAACTTCAACTTAAAATGATTTTAAAAAATCAAGTGAAACATTAAATCATATATACTTTAATATTTAATATTAATAATAATTTATCAATAACAAATTTATGAATAATAAAACTGTTTATTAATAATAAAAACCAGCAAACAAAAATCGACCTGCACCGCGTTAGCTTCAAGGCGGCTCAAATCAGTCTCACCCTCTTCAGACAAACCACGAGATCGTGAAACGTCCCATATGACGGGATCCGGCGGGCACCGCCGATTTTTCCGAACCACCCAGTACACCATGAATCGCGAATCTGAATATGCACAAGTTACATTAGTCGCAGCGAGTAGCGTCAAAGGATCGAGGCATTCGGGTTGAAATTACTCGGGCCACTTGGGCGAGCGTTACTCTCTCGCGCGCGAGAGTTCCTCTGTGAAAATTTAATCGAAAGTTCCTACGGCTAGGAAATGAAAGTCGAAGGCAGAGATACGGACGAGAGAAGAAGAAAAAAAAAAGAAAGGAAAAGAAAGAAAACGTGGCAGAAGGGCCGTGGGGGGTAAAGCGACGTTGAAACACGACGAATAACGCGTTCCGCCGAGGAAAGAAGCGAAACTTGTAAGTTCGCGGATATCGAAGGCTAGAAAACGATTTACTGGTCGTAAGAGCGCGGGACTTCGAAGTTGAGGGCGGCCCTCGATTTTTTCCCTCCCGTTCGTTCTTTTTTTTTCTCGAAATTCCTGTCCTCGAGTCTGGCTCCCGGATTATATAAAAATTTCCGCCATAACTGGAAACTCTGTCGACGCTCACCCCCGCCCCCCCCCCCAACCCCCGTGTCAGAGTCACGGAAAAAAACGCTTACCGGACAGATTCGCGCGAGCTAAAGCCCTCTTCCCTCTCGGATTTTTTACCCGGCTAGAATTCTATCTGATAACGGAAAACCTTTTTTGCCCTTCTACGTCTTTCACCCAGATTTTTCCTCCTTGTTTTTCACGCGCGAAACAATAAATACCGGAATCCGGTGCAATCGCCCCCTCGTTTCTCCCGTACGTCGTGATCGTCAACGAATTTCCACGCGAGAAAGAAAATTTATATTTATTGTAATATTGACACTTTGACTGCCGATAATAAAATTACTTAAAATTTAATTTCTATGTTAGTCCATAAAAATTTCTTAACTTTATTAACCCCTTGCGGTACCATTATCATCATCACAGTTACGACGATTAAATTTTTTCGACTGTAACATAGTCTAATAATTTCATAGGGCAGGAAAAAATTGTTATTTATACAGTATGCCTACGTTTATTTTCAGCGTTTAAACATTAATGGCGGGAGAACTGAATTTTATTTCGTTTTCAGAAAACGGAGAAACGTTCATACTGAACAGGTCATTATTAGAAATCACCATCGCGAGTCAGACTCGTCGAAGTATGTCAAGGGGTTGATTATATGCGGAATAATTAAATATATTTAATAATTAAATGATGCTTTCCGAACACTTTGGTCACGTTTCATCTGGGTGCTACTAACATACTCGAAACTCTGGGTAATTTATGTCACACCCTCTGAATAATTTCTCACCTCGAATTCTGTTCAGAACGTAACAACGTCAATTTTGCTTTCGACGCTTTGAACTGCGAGCACATTTTAATTCGCAACTCTCATAGTCGTGTAAATATTTGAGCAATTTCTGGATAAACGTTTACGTATGAAACGCGGCGGAATAAAATTTCTTTTCGAAAACAGTGAATGTGACTATAAAATAAAATATAATAAATAGTATATAAATAGTGTATAAATAATATGGTAAATAGTATACATATAATAAAATACATCAGTGCACACAATTACGCGACGTCGCAGAGAACAAATAAAATAAATCGTCCTCTCGACATTCTCAAAACAAGCTCCAAAAATTATAACTCGCCTAAACCCAGTCTAAAAATTACAACACCTCCCGCTAAAAAAAAAACTCCCCAAAAAGCTCTTTCTCCTATCGATCACTGGACAATCGCGTCGAAAAGCTCGACTTCCAAATGAAAAAGCTTCGCGGAAGCGCGTATTCACGAGGAAATGTTAAATTCCCGTCGATGTAAACACCGGCGCGCAATTTTCATTCGATTTTATCGGCACTTCGTGTTCCCGTAGGCAGCGGTGAATGGGTTTTCTAAATATACCCCGGAAATCAAGCAATAACGGTGCAAATGGAATTCATCGGAATTTCGGTGAAATAAGTGACAACCGCTATTGCAGCGCGGCGTGCAGAGCGGACAAGCGCGCGCGTTTTCCGTTGCATCGAGTGATCGAGGAGCAGCTTCGATCGAACGTTTACAGGTTATCCCCGGTGTTACCAGGACGCAGGGATATCGAAGGTCCCAGCTGTAACTACCGCGATCGTAGTATAATACAGCCGGCTTACTTGATCCGCGCGACGCAAGACGCGCGCTTAATCCGCGTTTGACGCTCGCCTAGCCTGTTGGCTAGGCACAGACGAGCGTGCGATATTGCGCCAAACCGAGCAATTACTGTCGGTAATCTCGCTAATAGAATTCCAATATGCGTGCCAATTGAACCGAGGCGCCATGTGGCCGTGCGGGCGTGAATCTACAGATTGTGCGCGCACGACGAAACCCGTGACACGATTTAGCCATTAACTATGCCGCTCCGCCGCTTTACTTCGATCCGCTTCTTTATGCGTTCTATCATCTGGAGCACGCTTTCTGGGACGCGGATTTCGCTGTTATATTTAAATACCGGGAGATTAATTATCGACGCGAGATACCTAACCAAAAAATCTGTGCTAGTCCTGCGCCTATGTAATTCACTGCTACGCCGATGCTAAGGCTCGACAGAGTCGGTCACGCGTGTGATGCGGCATTGCGTGTACAACTGGGTACATGAATCGTGGCATGTGGCCTCTGAATTGCCTCGAGTCGTGTCACATGGCCTCCGAATTGCCTTCGAATCGTGTCACATGGCCTCCGAATTGCCTCGAATCGTATCACGTGGCCTCCGAATTGCATTCGAATCGTGTCACGTGGCCTCCGAATTGCATTCAAATCGTGTCACGTGGCCTCCGAATTGCCTCGAATCGTGGCAACAAATTAGAAATAAAAAAATTAAGACACAATAGCATTATTATGTATTCGTATTAATGTACGCCGGCATGCTGGTCGCAGTCTTTTTTGTCGACTGGCCCGAGTTTCTATAAAAACGAGTTGCTAGGCCCAAAGAATCGAATCTTATTATTATCTGCCGGTTTTAATTCCGATCATTTCGAACATTCTCTAGGAGAATTTACTCTAATTTCTGAAACAAGATTCCGACTATGGAACTGTGAATCCACTGAGAAATCGAGATGATGATTCGTGGATTTTCGATCGGTACAGTAAATTACAGTAAAATACAGTAAATTCTTCCCGATTGTTCCTCGGCTCGTAAACAAAAGTGGACGACTTGGAAATAGGGGATACGATTATTCGAGCCTCGTGGCTCATTTTTATAGTTGCCGTTTGTCAACAATTATAACAACGAGACGCGAGCGGTTATTTTAGGTTATTTGACATAACCTCGAATAATCGTATCTCCTCTTCTCAGATTGTCCACTTTTGTTCAAGAGCCGAAGAACAATTAGAGAGAATTTACTGTAAGAGAAAAGAGCACGTGAAATAAAATTAAATTGCATCACATGTTCGATAGAGCGAAGCTTTATACTGCAGGGGAATCAACAGAAGCTACAAATCATGGTCGGTTTTCAATAGAGAAACGAAATAAATCGACGAAACTTGCGATAAAACGAGCGTTCACTATTATTGCCGACATCGAACGTTTTGCCAAGCCATTTCGTTTACCGTATCGAAAACAGAGCATGATTTGCAACTTCCGGCGACTCCTCTGCGAGTATAAGCTCCACTCTATCTAATTATCTTTGCGTTCTTAATTTATCAAATGAATTACGAAATGCTTTGTCAACTTATTTATTGAAATAATTATTTTAATGTTACTTCGTCGATAAAATCATTTTCCTGTACCACGATTCGTGAAAATGTAAAACTGATATCGATCCTAAATAATATTAAAACCGAATAATTAAATAACATTTAAAACCGAAAATCATGAACATTATTAACAATAATTTTCGTACCCGTTTGTCAGGTATAAAACCACAGAAAAATAAGGAGTAGCTAAAAATGTGGACTACACATCTATTATAATATCAAAAAAATGATAAATATGGAGGCCTAAGTCAATAATCGACGTAAAACTAAACCCAGAGTCTCTTAAAACTATTTCTGAGGAGCATAAAATGAAAAGGTTCCAATTAGGAATCTTTTTTAATTATAATTATTCGGTCCTCCCGTTGAACGAAATTAAAAAACAGCGCTTCGTTATTTATTTGATCCTGGCTCCCTTAAAACTTGATAGACCAGGCACGAAATAAAACGAAGCGAGAGGTCTGGTGAATGCACAGTGCAATGGTATCAAGGAATCGAGGTAATATACGGGGAGTCGGATAGGATCCCACCTCGTTAATTGGACTTGGTACGATGATGCTGCCGCGCGAATTGTTCGCCACGAAATTACCCCGATATCTCGTCGTTGCCGTTGTTTTGTACGGTGCTGAAACGTTATCTGTGTCCGCGCGAATTTTCTTTCATCGGGTTCGTTACGATCTTGCAGCGACAGTTAGACCGTTAACACGAAACACTGGGCGAAACGAACCAGCGACCGGACACACACCGGTCATAACTATCGCGGAAGCGCGCGAAAATTTCGCAGCCATGCATTAGGTCTACCCGTTCTATTTTAACCCTTTGCACTCGAGCGGTGACTCTGAGGCACCATTAAAATTGTTACATCACGTTCCAAGATAATTTTTATATTATAAAAGTCTAGACGTAAGAAATTGTTAAGAGTCTAATTGTTGTATGAGTCGCAAGACTATAAATTTCGTACGCATAAAATGCACTTTGTCATATAAGATGGAGATACCATAAGTCGGAAAAATTAATTTAGATTTACAGTTAAAATGACTTCGAGTGCAAAGGGTTAAAGGTCTCATTCGACGCGTTAAACGTCGATCAGCTCGAAAAATGTCAACTATATCGGACTCGTTTAATTCATGAAATTGAAACTAAAAGGATAAAAATTTTGCCAGAGTAAATATTATTAGTTCAATTGATTCGTGTTCGAAAAATCCTGGTGGCATCCGGTCTGTTCAATATATTACGATAAAAATGAATTTCAAGATCTAATAACGTATCTTCCCTTATAATATAAATTCTTTATGCTTTAGGGAAATATAACTGACTTTGTAGCAGCAAATATTGTGGTGAGCAACAATTTAAGTTATATTTCAGAGATTTCATATAGTCATCGATATTATTAAACTAAGTAGAGAGAACAGTGATGACAAAATTTATTTCAGATTTTTAAATCAGATGAACATTATATTTTGAGAATCTGCTGAAATATATTTTATCAATCTTTAAATAGTACTTATTTCTCAAGCATATATCTAGCTACAAAATAATGGTAATGGAAATATGTAATCTCGTTTAAGAAAATATCGATGACCGTGAGATTTCGAAAAATATAATCATTACAAAAATTGTTTGTCCTTCATAATATTTGTCCTATCAAGTTTTCTTCCGAGAACTTTTTCTGTTGTCAATTATATAAGCGAGATATTTAAGATACTTAAATTAGGGATAATTTCTGGCATAAATGTTGTTATTTTGCGTGCTTTCTATATCGTCATCGGTAATCAATTAATTACTTGCTTTTTAATACTGAAATGATACGTATACTTGGTAGAAAGAATGATGGAAGAAAAGAATGATCCGTGTAAGCACGGATATCTTATAAAAATGGGTAATACTTTCCGATGGATCTAACCAAAAAAATAAACGTACCGCTCCAAAACGAAATTTGGAGTGAACGGGTACTAAATGTTACGTGTCTCGTGAGGATTATTAACACTATCGGACCGTATAATAAATTTCAGGCCGATTCATTGCACAAATTACATTTAATTGTGTCCAATTAAATCAACGGTCCAATTAAAATCGAGGCATGGAGAACTCATTACGATTTATTGAACCGGCGCTAACGATCATTTTGATTTTTCCTGGTCGATGTACAAATAGTCGACGATATTATTTCACAGGAATAATTTGATGTATTGTATCGTCGCTGGGATTTTGATAAATATCGAACATATTAACAAGAACATTAATTTCCTACAGTTACCAATGGGTAATGGTCAAATCAACACAGATGCGAACATTCATGGACATTCGGTACATACGCTCTATAAGTTTCATGTGTTAATAGGCTAATACATTTTGTTTGCTTAATCCGAAATTACGATTACACCTTGCCGAACTCGAATATTTTCCTAAGAAAGGTCTGTAAATGTTTAAAAGTGATCTTCACTGTATACTTATGAATGTTTAGGCAGTTCATTGACTAGTTGGTGGGGATTCACCATTGTCGTATTGGCTCTTATTCTTTAGCAGATAACCGGCTAGAAAGTTTATGGGATCGGCTGGTCTTTCCTTGGCTAGACTCGACAGCGCCTGCAGCAGGATCGGCACTACCGTTTGATCTAAGTATTGCCTCGTTGGCAAAGATTGCACTTCAACACGTGACTTCTTTGGCGTTACACCAGACAAATCGGAATCTTTATTCATTGCTAGTAGCCTCTGGAACAATGAAAGAAAATACAATTGTTAAATGGTATCAGCACCTCTCTTTCTCTCTGTTTCTTTATACATCAGGGTCGGTATGAAAAACATTTATAGAATGACTCATTTAAAATCAAAATTTGTTTCAATAATAAATGTGAAGGGATAAAAAGGAACAAAAATAAAATCATTGTTAAGTCCCATTTCATTTCCACTGAAATGGAGATGCTTTTTAAAGTTAGAACCGTATGAACACCGTCTACGTGTCTGCTTCTGCACGTCAGTCTACTCCTACGGATACTTTTATAAATATAGACAGAAATACGATTTTGTTTACATCGAAACTGTTCTACAAACATCCAAGAATATTAATTAATCGCTTTTCTCCGTGAAAATTGATACGTAATACGGATATACAACGCTTTGTCACTGTACAAATACTTTCTCAACAAATTGCATAAAAACACGAGAACCGTTGCAATAAGCGAAGAATCAATCGAAGTAATCACGCGAATTTCACAAACGATACGTACACAGATCAGCGAGAACAACAAACTTATATTTTATCATAACAGCTGTCCGGTTGACTGGCGGGAAACGTAGTTTTAAAGCCGGTTCTCACAGGCGAGAGATTACTTTCAACGAATTTTCAAGGATCTTATCGCGAGATCTCTTTCACACTAAGAGAACGACGTGTTCGCGCGGATCTATATCGACGCGATTTGGGCGCGTGCAAATCAGGATGAAATCGGTGTGCGAGTACACCGTATAGATTTATAGGTTAACGGACTCACTTGCGCTGCTTCGCTCAGGACATTGTGGAGGGGTTGTGCGGGCATCGCAGGCTCGGTTCTCTCCTCGGTCGTGTTCTCTGCCGTTAGGAGATTAACAAATTAATTTGCATCGCTGGTAGGACGAGTTTCACGGACGAAACGGATCGTCCAGCAGCTCTTATATTAAACTATAAAAAGCAAAATAAACGGATACCTACCACCGCCGGACGCCATCGCGCAAACAAGTGCCGCCACCAACTGCAGCGAGTTATCACGGCACGAGCGCTATTCAAATGTTGCCAAACGCGCTTCGTGCCCGCTCCTTATCTTTGCAAAAATACTGCGCCGCCCGTAAACGCGCGAACCGATATGCCGTTGCTTTCGTATTACCGTTCGGAAAGCCTTCGAACACCGTGTTCAATATTTCCGGGATTTTAATTTGCAGCCCGGTCACGTTGTTTAAGAGTTCGTATCGCGACAACGGTTGAAGGTCATACGTTATTTTGGAATTTTGTGAGCCGAAGAACTCGTTGCGAACTTCGCGATATTTTCACCGTGTCCCGATAATGCTTCGAAGTATATTTTAGATATAAATATGCAGCTTGAACGATTAATTATTTAATCAGACATGAAGCAAACGCGGGGCCTGGTTGCATAAAAAATCGAACGTCGGATCAAATGAGCGCAGTAACAGTTATTTTACTGCTATTTCTCTAATTTCGTATAGAAAAGATCCAGAGTTTTTTTTAGGGACTAATTACATGATTCAAAAGCGTATAGTTGAAACAATGGTTGAGAAATATAATACATGCTTATGGCTGCGTTCGGTATAAAAATAAGCGCCGAACTCGGTCCACTGAACAGCTCTCAACTGAACAAGTCGGAGGTGGAGCAAAGAATCCTCGTGCCAGCAGATGTTCTTTTTTTTGGTTTTGTTTATTTAACGTAAAGTTAGACGCTACGACTTTGGTACAAAAACATAAAACAGTGGTACTGAGGAAACGGTGTACTTGCGAGCGGATCCTCGAGTCCCTACGAGCGCGGAGAAATACGTGTATCGTTGTATGCGAATATGCGAACTTACGGCCAATCGAAAGGCGAGCACACGGGGGAGGTGAGATGGGATATGGGGTGGCATAGAACTGAACCATAGAGCGAAAAATCACGCGAACGTCTCGATGGTCTGCTTGCGAATTAACCGAGAGAAACGAAGAAACGAACACGCGCCCCGCCGAAGGGTGAAGCTCGAAGAACCGCCCCGCTATCTGCACGAAACCGAACATCGATGATATTCCCAATGATGATCAAGCATAATCAATATATATATAGTATATGTATAGAAATGTGTATGTATAATATATAACGCGGACGGGCGGCACCGACCGTTCAAAGTTCACAGCATCACGGAAACGAAATCTCTGATAAAAGAGCAACATCGAACCTCTTCCACAAGTAAAAACGATTCCAGATCGATCACACAAAAACCATAAAACATTAATTAAAACGTGCTTACGTGTTTAGTCCCCGTAAGAATGGATAAATATATATATATATGTATATGTATGTATGTATAGGTAGGAGAAGCTAAATTGGCGAACCGTGGCCGCGCGGCCGATCACGTTTCAATTCGTCCGTTAATCGTTTCTTAGCGTTTCAATGAATAAATCGCAATCGGTTAATAATATCGAATAAGTTAAATATCCGCCGGTTTTCACTCTTATAATCATATACGTTCGTCGTACGCGTCGCCGATTAATTCTTTCATGCGGGTCGAATAAATCCCCCGGGAAGCTTCAAAAGCGAGAAATCACCGCGTTAAGTCACGCGTGAGTTAAAACGTGATATACAATTACATGGGTAAGAGGGGTGACTTGGATACGGCTACATTTAAAGGATGGTAGAGCGCGATCGTAACACATACACGAGACACGAGACTTTTGCGCAGCCATTAAAAATCACATCGATGAGTAAAAATGCGCGTCGGCGAGACGAGTCGCAAGCCAGCGATGGTTATCCGATCCGTTAAATTAACGTAGCCCGCGCCCGAATTGTGATAGCGGGTCGCTTTCGTCGTTTTAGAAACTCCGTGAGATTTTTACGAGAAGACAATGGAAGAAGACAGCCGATCGCGGACGAAGCATCCCGGCACTGCCGTCCTCGTCAACGAAGAGGGCACTTCCTCGCCCGCGAAACACGCTCGCGCGACTGGCGTGCCACTCGAGCATCGCCTCGGCAAATAAATGCGACACCTAGACATACCTACTTACAACGTATGTGTATGAACGTCAATATATATATATTTGTGTATATATATATATATAGATCATTTTTCGTATATACCTAAGTAGTGTTATCATAAAAACGAGCTATGAGACACGCGCCGCAGCCTGCATTCGAGCGCGCGCGTCGAGCGAACGGAGGAATCTGGTGCCCTGTGAAATCACGAAATCGTTCTCGTCTACCGTTTATCTAAGTCCGACAATTTCTCTGCTCTTTCAATGGCCTACGTGTGTGTATGTATGTATGTGTGACTGCTAATTATCGCTTAATTCGGAGAGCTCGACGCGCGGTCGCCGTACAACGAAAGCTCGACGCGGCGCACCTCGCGACCATATCCGTCCGGCTTAGGTGCTACTTACTTACGATCTAGAAAAAACGGTACCTGTTGCTCGGATTGCTTAAACGTTATATCATCGTCGCTTAATCGTTAGTCGATCGAGATTAGCTTTGCGGGAATATATGTTGTGTGTACAGCGGACTAAATATCATATAGGACGATTAAAAATCGACAGCGAGCGTGGTGTGCTTTCGGTGTCTGTGTATGCGTCGTGTTTGCGACTGTTCTCCCGAGTGTAACGTGTCTGTCTGTCTGTCTCTGTCTCTGTTTACTATGTAATGTTATCCGTGTGTTCGTGTGCCCTTGCTTGCATGAGATATTTGATCAGCGAGTCTGCTCTCGTTGTTGTTAATTGGTTGTTCGTTCTCTCTCTCTCGAAGAGGGAAAAAGCGATCTTGCTCGCTGTTTTAATTGGTACGACGACGACGAAGACGACGACGACGACGACGACGACGACGATCCACGCGATCGCGAACCGTCGCGAAACTGTCGGGAAACATGCTCTGCTGTCATGCTCGCTCTGCTCTCCGCGACGCCGAGACTCGAGGTCGTCGATCACCGATTATGGGGGGACACAACCTTCGTTACGAAATTATAAACCGTATATACCGTATGTATATGTATAATATCATAATAATATACGTATGCATGTATGTATGTATGTATGTTTTCTTTTTTGTATGTACGTATAATATCATATGCCTGCGGGGAGCGGCAGTGTGGCACAACCATGACTTAAAAAAGCGAGTAACTAATATATTATTCTCGTGTGTATGTGTATGTATGTGTGTGTGTGTTGGTTTCCCGTGACTCGTGACGCTTATTAGCGACAATCGTAACCTAGGACATCTCGCGGAAACCCACGTTTCGTGTGTGTCTGTCCGTCTCCCTCCCTCTCTGTCCCACGTGTTTGTCTGTGTGTGTACGTGTACGCGTGTACGTCTGTTCGTAGAATCGTGTGAAAACGCGGAAAATTCATTGTCGCCGAGAAGCACGCGTCGCGTTCCGGATCCTCCGTCGCGGCGCCGACGATCGACGGTGACGAACAATGCCGGGCGTCTGTTCGCCGTCGTCGACGACGATCGACGATCGACGATCGCCGCGATCGAGCGCGTTGTTCACCGCGCCCGCCCCGTTTGCGCGTGTGTATTTTACGTAGATGTTCCCCTCCGTCCGTTTCGCCCGTGAAAATTACGGCAGTCAAGAGAATTTGGCAGTTTCGTCGTCCGGCCTTTGTCGACGATTGAGCAACGATCAAATGAGCGATCGAACGACTAAGAAGAAACGCGAGATCTCGAACCGAGGCGAAGGCCAAGAGATAGCCCGGTGTAAAAAAAACGATATGGTCGTGGACGAGGGACGGAGGTACGGTCCCATTGGTCGCTGGGGCCCCGGTGACGCGGCCATCGATCACGGCCGATCCCCGATCGTCGGGATCTGTCGCGTCCCGTGCGATCCGGACGCCGAATCTACCCTAACACGCGCGGCGACGCGGCTAATTCATTTAAATGATAAATCGTTGCAAACTCGTTCCGCTTCTCTCGAGTCTTCGGCCGCTGGCGACGAGAGAGACGGAAGACCTCGGAAGTTGGTGATTTACAGATTACACTGCCACAGTATCGTAGGGTGTGAAGTGTCCCCCGTGACCGCCGTGGCTGGCGCCGGTTTGCCGGCCGGGGGCTTCGTGTCTGCAACATGCAGTTCACATTTTTAATATCCTCCTAGCTAATCGGTGCTCTCGGCTTTCCTTCTCCTTGGATGAACGGTAGCGGTCTATAGCTGGACTGCTCGATTCGCGCTGAAAGGGTGCTTGCGATACGCTCGTGCTCTCGATTTTGCGATTCAGGGTCAGTTTTGTTCATTCGGGTTTCATCGAGGCGATTGGCGGACTGTTAAGGCGATTTTTTGGCGCGGTTCGCGTTGCATATCGGTGACCACTGCGGAGATCAAATTAATAGGGAGTAATAACTTTTTTATAATTGGACTAAGTGACTTGAATTTTGTTTAGGTGATAGAAGGATTGGTTTACTAGATGATGACTGAAATGCCTTTTTTAAATTTTGCTATTACTTGGGGTGACAAAGAAAGATGAGATTTATCATTATTAGATTTTATAATTATTAAATTTTATGATTATTAGATTTTATAATTATTAGATTTATAAATATTAGATTTTATGATTATTAGATTTATGATTATTAGATTTTATATAATGATTAGATTTTTTTATGATTATTAGATTTTATAATGATTAGATTTTTTTATGATTATTAGATTTATAATAATTAGATTTTATAATTATTAGATTTATAATTATTAGATTTATGATTATTAGATTTTATAATTATTAAATTTATGATTGTTAGATTTTATAATTATCAGATTTTATATTTATTAGATTTTATAATTATTAGATTTATAATAAAATTTTCAGCATGCATATAAGTCACCGAGATCTAAAGACGAGAGTTTTTTATTTTTTTTTGTCGTTCCAAGTAATAGCAAGATTTAAGAAAAGCATTTTGGTCATCGTCTGATAGACTAGTCCCTCTATCACCTAAAAAAAGTTCAAGTCACTTAGTCCAGTTTTGAAAAAGTTATTGCGTTTTAAAAGGTACACGAACACTTTTAGGTAGATCACTGTACGTTAACGTTCTTAATTTGTTTGGATATTTCCACTGTTTTGAACTATTTAAATCTACTAATTTTTCTCAAAAATGCGTCAAATCCGCAACGGAAAATAAAGATTTGTTGCATCGATTGCAAGGGACAGTTGCCAGATACACGTTGAATGCTTTCTTTAATGTTTTCTTGTCGATTATTTTCATATAGCTATCGTTTGAAATTCTTTCAAATCGTTTCAATCACAAATGCATACAAATCGGCAATCGATTAATTAAAGTCAGCTCATGTTTCGATTAAAGATTTGGACGAGTCTGTTCCCTCAACCGAGTCAATGGTACACCGATTTCGAAAGAAGATTACGCGCCCCGACTGTTGCGCGTCGAGCATCGTTTTTACCATAATTATTATCGCCTAAATGAACGTTCTAAGCCAGGGGTGTCAAACTCGCGGCCCGAGATGAACATTTTTGATGTCAAGTATCAGGACGTAAACAATAATTTAACTTTATATATGTTTATTACAATGTACTAATCAAAATAAAAATATTTGTTTCTATGAACATTGATTTTTTTTGCGGCCCACCTAAAGTTAAGCATTGTTTATTTGGCCTAAGTTATATAGCTTTTGAGTTTGACACCCCTGTTCTAATCGATCGTTGCGCGCGAGAGGCACAGGAGCGCGATGCAAAGCATCCCCTTCGACGCGAATCAAGCTGAAGCACTATCCACGTGCAGACGGTCTGGCATAATCGACGGACAAACTGCAAATCGCATCTAAACAACAGCAACTAAAAGGCTCTGCACGTGGCAGAGCGACGCCAAGGCATGCAACTAGCGGCACTCGCGAAACACATATTATTATACGTATATTAATAAGACCAGAGGTGTAGCGTTAATAAATACAACGATAAAAAGGTTTATTCGTATTTTGCTCTCGCAGCGTTGGATAAGTGGTTAGTAGCACCAGCGGCAATGGCGGCAGGATCTGTAGCGATAACTTATGGGAATTGCGGCGGAAACGATACTGTTCGTTCTGATCGGATATATGCCGTTCAAGTATANAAATGCATACAAATCGGCAATCGATTAATTAAAGTCAGCTCATGTTTCGATTAAAGATTTGGACGAGTCTGTTCCCTCAACCGAGTCAATGGTACACCGATTTCGAAAGAAGATTACGCGCCCCGACTGTTGCGCGTCGAGCATCGTTTTTACCATAATTATTATCGCCTAAATGAACGTTCTAAGCCAGGGGTGTCAAACTCGCGGCCCGAGATGAACATTTTTGATGTCAAGTATCAGGACGTAAACAATAATTTAACTTTATATATGTTTATTACAATGTACTAATCAAAATAAAAATATTTGTTTCTATGAACATTGATTTTTTTTGCGGCCCACCTAAAGTTAAGCATTGTTTATTTGGCCTAAGTTATATAGCTTTTGAGTTTGACACCCCTGTTCTAATCGATCGTTGCGCGCGAGAGGCACAGGAGCGCGATGCAAAGCATCCCCTTCGACGCGAATCAAGCTGAAGCACTATCCACGTGCAGACGGTCTGGCATAATCGACGGACAAACTGCAAATCGCATCTAAACAACAGCAACTAAAAGGCTCTGCACGTGGCAGAGCGACGCCAAGGCATGCAACTAGCGGCACTCGCGAAACACATATTATTATACGTATATTAATAAGACCAGAGGTGTAGCGTTAATAAATACAACGATAAAAAGGTTTATTCGTATTTTGCTCTCGCAGCGTTGGATAAGTGGTTAGTAGCACCAGCGGCAATGGCGGCAGGATCTGTAGCGATAACTTATGGGAATTGCGGCGGAAACGATACTGTTCGTTCTGATCGGATATATGCCGTTCAAGTATACCATCGGCGTCATCTGGGAAATTATTAGTATCAACTACGGAAATATGTCACACATGTAAATCAGCATAAGTTATTCGTCGTATAATCGCATGCAAACACATGAATGATTAAAAACAAGCGGTATGTTCGACCCAGGTAGAGATCTCGTTGGTACGGAAGCATGGTTTTCGCTGTCGAAGCATTGACTGACCTATTTCTCGTGGCCACAATAAAAACTAACTAACAAAAACAGAGTCAACGCAGCTTCTAAAGCCTCTCAAGATCAGTCTCTAACGCGGCCGTCGTTTATATTTGCGGGTGTGCGCCCTGCGTTTTCGTACTTTTATTGATTATTGTCTAAACGAACTTACGGCTTCCTGCGTAAAGAGTCATGAAACAAGAAAAAAAGGTCAGAGGTAACGTTAGGCAGATTGTACGACAGGTTGTACAGATGTTCTTAGCGGAACCACCGTGCACTCGATCACCACTATCATTTTCAAAACCGTGACTAAATGTCTCCCACGACTTGTACGCACGTGAATCCAATTCAACAGGCTCGACACCAACAAGCTAAAACAACACTGTCCAACTTTCTAACAACGCTGCAAGCCATTTCTTTCTTTTTCACCGCATCCTCAGTTTCTCTGCCTTCTAATGGACAAGTGATGATGATGATGATGGATTGCTAAAAAGTGACCGATGCGTTATTGTTTTATAATAACGACCATGCTGAATTTATTTAGATTTTTCACCACTTTTGTTATAGTTGACTGAACTAAGAAATTCATTCAATTGTTTCCTATGAGAAAATCTTTGCAATTGGAACATTTTTTGAAATAAAATACATGAAACCGGTCATTTTGATTGGCATGGTAGACTCAGTGTTAAACAAAGATGTAATGCAGGTTTCATTTTTGACAGAGAAATAAAACTAATTCAGTGAAGTTTAATCGCTTGATGTCTCCGATACTTTATGACTTGCTAAATTATTTTCTTTTACAGTCAATACCCAAATCTGGTAAATTTTGTCAATAGTTCTTCCATGTAGAACTATTTCTATGTAGAACTATTTATGTGAGAACTGTGTGTTAGAACTATTTTCCATGTAGAACTATTGGGTTGGCAACTAAGTAATTGCCGATTTCACAGTTATAGATGTCTCTCACTCCCATTTTTATGATATCCGTAAATGTTATATTATAAAATTATTATTATTATTATTATTATTGTGTCATTTTCCAGCAGGACAATGCTGGGCCGCACACGTCTTTGTCCACTCGGCAAAAATTGATGGATATTGGTTGGGAATTGATGTTACACCCACCATATAGCCCTGATCTCGCGCCATCGGATTACCACTTATTTCGATCCTTGGACAACTCCCTTCGTGGTAAAACTTTTAACGATGATGACGCTGTAAAATCTCACTTAACTCAGTTTTTGGCCGAAAAGGATCAGACTTTCTACGAGCGTGGAATTTTCAAGTTGTCAG